GGTTTATATAATCTGACAACAGTTTTCTCTGCTGCATGAAGGACTACATCTGAGGGCACTTCAAAGGGTTGGTCAAAAACGGAGTGAAGGGCTGCGCGCCCACGGCCTCTGTGCACTTGCGCGGCTGTGCCGGGGCCTGCCCACCCGTGTCCGGCCGCGCGGCGTGGCGGCCCTCGTGGTGTGGTGACGTCAGAGCTCCGCAGCCTCTTGAGTGACGCTGGTCCCGTCCTTTGGCCAGACCGAGTGGCGCTGATGTAGATGCGCGAGCTGGCGACTAGCAATTGGTAGCCTCCAAAATGAAAAAAAAAAAAAAAAAAGTTTTGATTGGAAAGGCAAGCAGCCTAAGAGGTTCTTAAGAGCCAAGGTTGGATGCCAAAATAGCTCAGGGCTGCAGCCGCAGTTCGGGTGCAACATCAGAGGAAAGGACCTGGGGGAGACCCACAGCACGCCCCGCGTGGGCGACGTGGGCAGAGTACGTCAGCTCCTGCTCCTGGGCTGGGCCGCCCTGCGGAAATGTCCGAGTTTCTCCTCGTGCATGAAGCAGACGTCCACGTGGTCGACAGTAGCAGCGGACACGCTCATGTTCGCAGCGCAGTATAAGTCACCTGACCTACTCAGCATGCTTCTTGAAACCGTGGACTCTGAATTAGACTCCATCGGTGACCCTCCACCACGCTAGGAACTAAAAGCAACACCGGATAAACAAACAGGACTTGAAGTACCGAGGCCCGGGCGTAAGCATCGTTCGAAGAGACTGCACAGCATGAGAGAGAGAGAGAGAGAGAGAGAGAGCGAGCGAGCTTCCTCCCAGAGACTCGGGAAATACAGCATTCAGGGTCTGGAAGCCGGCGGCTCCAAAAGGAAACGTTGCATGGAGTTAACCCGACAAGAACTGGAGGGAGAGGCAACAATGCATTCGGGAGACATTCACCCCGGAAAAGCGTTCTCATCTGAACTCCCTGCGCACCCCCAGACGTTAGCAGAACAATACCTAGAGAAACCGCGGAGCCGTCTTCACCCAGTGCTTCCACCACGTGGCCGCCTCTGGAGCCAGCTAAGGCTGCAACTTTTAGTAGCAACGTACTGGGCCTTGGACCTCTTGTCTCACAAGAAAACCCAGGGATGTTGGCCGCGAGACCACAGCCTTCCTACCGCAGCACCCTACACCCTACAAACACGCTGTTGCCAGAAGTGGAACCCCCTCATCTGGGCTCTTCCTCAGGCAGGCAGTGAGAAGTCGAATCTAAGACAAGATCCTGTTTTCAAAGCATGAAGTTTTGTTTGTTTGTGTTTAACAGGAGCCAGGTGCTTCTCCTGGTCTCCCATGGGGTGCAGGGCCCAAGCACCTGGGCCATCCTCCCCTGCACTCCCGGGCCACAGCAGAGAGCTGGCCTGGAAGAGGGGCAACCGGGACAGAATGCGGCGCCCCGACCGGGACTAGAACCCGGTGTGCCGGCACCACAGGTGGAGGATTAGCCTAGTGAGCCGCGGCACCAGCCGATGTCTTGTAAATAAAGATTACACACTTTGAATGATGGCATTTTCCTTGTGCAACCATTTACGTACATTTTAATGGTTTCCTAGCATGTCAGCATTTTCATTAAAATAGTTATATATGATAAAAAATGAAATTAAAAATTAAGTTTGGGATCAGCGTTCAGCCTCGTGGTGAACATGCCACAGTGGAGTGCCTGGGTTCATCATATTAGTTGTAATTCTTTAATTCTTACCCCTCGCAAATGAAATTGCAGATGGATTTCTTTTTGGTTGTTCTTACCTTTCACTTTGCTTCTTACGTGGGAAATGGGAGAATCAAGAAATATAGCACCAGAAAGGATGATTAAGATTAGACAAAAACAGCAAATGAATGCAACACATTTCCATGTCTCTTGTTGGGTAACAATGCGGCCTTCCGCTTGTAATGTGCACACCAGGCAGAGAGCTCACCACAGTGGGTGGCACTGCCTGCCCCAAACAGATGGACAAAAGGGTGAGGCAGAGCGCACGGGCAGAAACAGCTACACCCTTTCCTCCCGAGAAAGTAAACTAACTGATCCAGTACCCATTATGCAACCTGCATCCACCCCCCCAGGGCACCCCAGGATGTAGTGACCACTATTCTAAGTTCACCTGGACTGTGTTTAACTCCCACATACAAGAGACAGCATGCACTATTTGTCTTTCTGTGGCTGTCCTATTTCACTGAACATTACAATCTCCAGTTCCATCCATATTGCTGCCATTTCTTTTTCATGACTGAATAATATTTCACTGTGTATATGCACCACATTTTCTTTTTTTTTTATTTTTTGACAGGCAGAGTGGACAGTGAGAGAGAGAGAGACAGAGAGAAAGGTCTTCCTTTGCCGTTGGTTCACCCTCCAATGGCCGCTGCAGCTGGCGTGCTACGGCCAGCTCATCACGCTGATCTGAAGCCAGGAGCCAGGTACTTATCCTGGTCTCCCATGGGGTGCAGGGCCCAAGGACTTGGGCCATCCTCCACTGTACTCCCGGGCCATAGCAGAGAGCTGGCTTGGAAGAGGGGCAACCGGGACAGAATCTGGAGCCCCGACCAGGACTAGAACCCGGTGTGCCGGCGCCACAAGGCGGAGGATTAGCCTATTGAGCCACGGCGCCGGCCTGCACCACATTTTCTTTATTCATCCTTCAATGGACCCCTAGATTGATTCTATATCCTGGCTACTGAAAATAGTACTGCATTGAACTTGGCAGTGGCGGTATCTCTCTGTAGGCTTATTTCATCTCTCTTGGGTATATAGCCAGCTGTGGGATAGCTGGTTCATACAGTAGACCTAATTCTAGTTATCTGAGAGCTTTGTATTCTTCTGCATCATGACTGGACTTATTTGCATCCCCACCAACAGTGGAGGTTCTCTTTTCTCAGTATCACTGCTGAGAAATATCTATGATTTTCTCTTCTCTGATAGCCATTCTGCCTGGAGAGAAATGATACCTAATTGTGGTTTTGATCTGTCTCTTCCTGGTGGCAAGCAATATTGAGTTTTTGTCCATATAAATTTATTGAGGAAAATTCACAAATGATAAATGCAACATGAATACAATTTTTTGCACTTGTTACCTTATATACAGGCATTATTTTATATATTTAATTAATTAATTTATTTATTTATTTATTTTGCCAGGCAGAGTTAGTGAGAGAGAGAGAGAGAGAAGGGTCTTCCTTCCGTTGGTTCAAACCCTAAATGGCCGCTACAGCCAGCGCTGCATCGATCCGAAGCCAGGAGCCAGGTGCTTCTCCTGGTCTCCCATGGGGTGCAGGGCCCAAGCACTTGGGCCATCCTCCACTGCACTCCCTGGCCACAGCAGAGAGCTGGCCTGGAAGAGGGGCAACAGGGACAGAATGCAGCGCCCCGACTGGGACTAGAACCTGGTGTGCCGGCGCTGCAGGCAGAGGATTAGCCTAGTGAGTTGCGGCGCTGGCCATAGATTTAATTTCTTAACTGTATATTATATTTTGTTTTATATTTTGTTTAGAGAATATTTATCTTTATAAGAGCAGGGTTGTATGGATGTATCTATGGATTCAATCTGTCTCATGGTTTTAGCTTCACTTTAGCAAATCTAGTACCAGAATTTTCAGTGGCTTCTTGGTGCTTTAAAATATTACAGAATGAAAATTGTAGTCTTTTTCATTGAAACTCAGTCAACTTCCAAGTCATTATTTAGCATCTAAAATGATCCTACTCGGAAGCATATTGTTTGTATTCATAAAATCTTAATCAGTTTTCATTTTTCTAAGTCTTCTTGCAATGTTACATTTATCAAGTGTGCTAGATGACTCAGAACAGTGCTGAATTATGGATTCTTGACCTTGAGCTTTTCGTTTTGTGCTAAATTTACTTTTATCTGCCTGTTCATCAGAATAAACATTGCTTGCTCCTACTTTAAATGTATTCTATTATGCAAACATAGTCTGTTTTCCTGAATAAATATTTGTGTCACAATAGACTATCTTTATGGCTCTGTTTTGCTTAGAGGGTCATAATGTTTCTTTCCATATTTAATACAGGATGTGCTGCACCATTTATAATTTATTGGGGATTGGGGGAGAGGGAGGTGGTTCTGGAATATGGTAATATCTCAGGTTTGATTGTAGTCTGCTTCAGAGGGCAAAGACTGTCCATTCAAATTGCTGAGTGAAGGTGACAAAGGTGGCCTGCAATGGAGAAAACATTCTTGGATTACAGATACTTCAAGCAGCCTAGGTTTGGGCTGGTAACGGGGCCTCACAGAAGCAACAGGCAAGCCTAAAGCACAGTGATGGCCGCACACAGATCTTGAACCTGTGCAGCTGATGATGTGCTCCGTGGAGTGAGACAAGCTTAATAAGGGGAAAACATATTTCCATGTCTGATTGATAGAACAGAGATGGTAAATAAATGTCTAGATCTCTTTGGAAAATTTGAATATTCCAGTATGGTTTTATCTTTCATTTTTTTTTATTTTGTAAAAAGAACTTTGTGTGTTTTTTGATACCACCTATGTTAGCTAGTTATTAATTTTTGAGTTTATATTTTAAATCTTGATGTGCTATTCACTGTTAAGCTTAGCCTTAATTCACACTGGCTGTATTCAGGGAATGTTTCAGGTGGTTCCACAACCATATCAAGAAGGTATCGCTGACTAGAATCTGAAGATGGGTGTCCGCTAGGTTGGCACCTGCTCCTGGGGAAAGAGTGGGAAAGGCTTCCCTGAGAACTTTATGAATGCCAGGGTATTTATCTCATAATCTTATTTTATTGTTATTCCCTATGCTGCTATTAAGTATACTGAAGATCTGAAAAGAGATATAAAAATAACTTACTTAGAAAGTAAGTGTTTTATAAAATGCAGTTGTATATACTGTCATCTAACAACAAAACAGGCATGTGCACACACACGCAGACAACTTTTTATTTATTATGTCCGTGTGCTTCATAAAAATTGAATGGTGACCTTGCTTTTTTTTTTCCTTTCAGCATGTGGTGAAACCCTACAGGAGTCCAATGGCAACCTCTCCTCCCCAGGATTCCCCAACGGCTACCCTTCCTACACGCATTGCGTCTGGAGAGTGTCTGTGACGCCAGGGGAGAAGGTAGCTTCTGCCTCTGTGTGTTCCATTTTAGTCTCATATAAGTGTAGTGTCTCTCAGAGGTTCATTGTCTTGCCAATGCCATTTTCTTTCTCTTTTATTCTTGTTTGACCTTTCAAATAGGAGCCTGTAGTATGATAATATCTTCATTTTCATTGTTCGGTGCCTGGCACCATGTGGAAGACCCAGAAGAGATCCGACTCTGGGCTGTGTCTCTGTCTCTGTGTCTGTCTCTCTTTCTTTTTCTCTCTCAAGCAAACAAATAGGTAAATAAACTGAAAAAGAAAACAAAGAATTTCTGGAAGGGGTGTATGTGTAACCTGGTAGTTAAGATGCTGGTTTAGACCCGTGTATCCCGCCTCAGCATGCCTGGGTTCACTCCCCAGCGTCCGCTCCTGACTCCAGCTTTCTGCCAGTGCAGACCCTGGGAGGCAGCAGTGACTGTTCAAGTGCTTGGGTCCCTGGTGGGGACCTGGCCGAGTTCTCGACTCCTGGCTTCAGCCCTGGCCCACCCGCAGTCATTGGTTTGGGTATCTGGGGAAGTGAACCAGCTGATTGGAGCACACACTCTATCTTACCTCTCAATTAAATAATTGCCTTAAATTCATGGAAAACATGCATTCTCATCTAATTCCACTTTCCAGGAACTTTTTTGAAGCCCCTTAATAGATACTTTAGGCACCAAAATGGCTATAAATGAATCTTTTCGAAACTATGCCCATAACGTATAAACTTCAGATGAAAGGAGGAAATTTCTACAATGTATTCTTAAGCTCTTAGGAAGAGATGAAAAGACATCTTGAATGTTCCTACTGTCCTAAAAGATGCCAAGTTATTATTTACTTACTGTTTGAGAGGCAGAGGGAGAGTAGGGGCAGGGGAGGGGGGTCCGGGAGGTGGGGGGGGGGGGAGAGAGAGAGAGAGAGAGAGAGAGAGAGAGAGAGAATTTTCTGTCTACTGATTAACTCCCCCAATTGGCAGTAATAGCCAGTGCAGGGCACCATGGAAGCCAGCAGACTGGAACTCCATCAATCTCCCACATGAAATGTAGGGTCCCAAATCCTTGGGCCATCTTCCACTGCTTTCCCAGGTGCATTAGCAGGGATCTGGGTTGGAAGAGGAGTAGGTGGGGGCTGAAACCGGTTCTCTGATATGGGATGCTGCAGTCACAAACAGTAGCTTAACATAGGTAAAGATGGAATAGAATGGGATTAGCAGCTGACCCTGAGGTCCACAGATCCTGGAAGTAGAAGTTGACAGGCATTCGGTTATCTGTATCACATTAAAAAAAAAACAAAACAAAACTGTATTTTACCAAGAAATGTATCCTAGAGCAATTATCTGAGTTTGTGTAAATATAGTTATTTATAGTGCTGAAAATTCTAAACAAAAGAAATTTTGAAAATGAAAATAATTACTAGAGAAAATGTTTACAATATAATATACAAATTTTAAAGCAGATTAAAAGTTATAGGCATGAAATAGTCTAGTTTTTAAATTACATGCATTGGGAAAAGTAAGAAAAAAAATTACATGCATTGGAGGCAAAATTGTAGAATTAAATACACACACACACACACACACACTACCACATGGACTACTTGTTGGGATCACAAGTAGGTTTTATTTCTTCTTTCTTTTTCTTTTTCTTTTTTGTGTTATCCACATATTATTTTGTGCAGGAGAAGAAAATGCTTTTTTTTAAAAAAATGTTGTTTTGCAACAATGTGGATTTAGTTAATTTCACAGAATTGTGCACTGAAAATGGCTAAAATGGCAAATTTGTTGTTAATGCCCATTTTGCCAAAGTCAGAACACCAAGTTTCCAGTCTCCCTGGGATTGAGCCTCCCGAGGTAGAAAGTGATTCCTGTTCTATCCAAGGCTATTCATGCTGGTGATGATCAAGCATGTGCCACTAAGAATGCAGCTGTTTTAAGCTGACAAAAGCACACAGCATTGATTCTCCCATCTCTTAGAATTGATTAGCCTTTGTGCAAGGGCATATCACTTGCATTTGGAATGGAGTTAATGTAATTCCTTTCCTGTACATTCTGCTTAAATGTTGTCATTTGACTACTTATCTTTGGCAAATATTTCTTTTTAATCACTCATCTATGTTTTACATACACAGTGTCAATTCACAATATAGTGTTTATATTGCCAACAGCACTGCTTACATTTAGCAAATACTAAATACATAAATTATGGATTCTGCTAAAATAGATGTGTCTTCTGATGCATGGGATAAATTCTTGCTCTCAAGAACCTTACAAAGTTATAGCTCAGTAATGTACTTGTCTAACTCTGAAATATGAGTGAAGGAAGCAAGACACAGCTTGGCATGAATTTTAAGAAGCTCAGATCTTGCTGAAACTCCGGCATTACTGAAGAGAGGGTTGCATTCTATACAGACTTGCAGAAATGTAAACATTTTCAAGGAACAGGGCGAGAAAAAGTGGAATTCAGTTGAATTATGGACACCTTGTGTATAGGAATAGGGGATGAATTTGAGGAGTTTTTCAGGGCGCAATAGCAAGAGAGAAGGTTTACGTAAGTGAGGTATTTGAGACAGTGAAAAATGAGGCAGCAAAGGTGGTGCATGACTCTCCCCGTTGATACGCAGGCTTTGTTGAGACTCACGTGGCCATAGAGTGTAGCGTGAGTTGGGAAGGGTATCCAGAGATATAAGGACAGCACTGGCAGTACAAAATGAGCAGGGATCATTTTTAGGGATATTGTAGACTATCTTCTCTCTGTAGAAACTGGCAGTTAACAAGAAATGGGATTGAGTGGGGATTAAGGAGAGGAAAGTTTAAAAAAATCTTCCAACGAAAAGTAGGCATGACAGATCAAAATTTCGAAGTACAAATATTGTATTTTGGTTTGAACAGAAAGATTATTTTAATAGCATAGTCTAACTTCCATTTTCCATCTGTCTTGTAATTAATCCCAAACAGAACACACTCTTAATCTGTTGTAAGGAAGGGACTTGAAAACCTATTTTTAAAATGTATGTATTTAATTTATTTGTGAGGCAGAGAGATCTCCCAACCACTGGTTCACTTCCCCAGATGCCCGTAACAGCCAGGGATAGGCCAGGCTAAAGCTTGAAACTGGGAACTCGGTCTAGGTCTCGCACATAGGTGGTGGGGACCCAAGGACTTGAACCATCATCTGCTGCATCCCAGGGTGTGCTGGAATGGGGAGTGGAGCCAGGACTTGACCCCAAGCACTCCAATATGGAATGTGGACATCCCAAGAGGCATTTTAACTGCTGGGCTAAATGCCCAACTCCAGAGAAACACTTTTATTTCCTTTTTATATTATTTCATGGCTTATGTTGTGACGATGACTGATGTTTATGTGAAAATATTAATACATGAGCTTCTTAGCACTTCTTTGATAATCCATGAGTGTTTTGCTGCACATCACTCAATTAAATATTATTACTTAATTTTGCTAAGATAAGTCTGATATGGTGGCTGCCAGCTAGCAATAAGAAGATTCATTTGACCCCAGAAAGTTAAAACAAGCCAGTGAACTAGGAAGCTAGAACTTGAAGAACAATCTCTGGTTATAGGAAAAGATGTGATTTCTTTTTCCTTTAAAATTTTACAGTTCCAGAGCTGAACAAATCCTTCACAATTAGTTATATCAGGGATTCACATACTTTTCTTTCTCTGCAAACTACATATTGTAAATTTTGCCTTTTTAGAATGTAATGTCTTTATTGCAAATATTTATTTCTAACAGTGTAGTAGAAAAATATTCATAGACTGTGTGGTAAGGGAATGACTCCAATACAATTTATTTTTTTAAAAAAACAGGATGCAGGCAGAATTTGGCCAACAGGCTATGGTTTATTGATCCCTGATCTGCTCCCTTTGAGCCTTATTTCTGAAAGAGAAAACTGTATTCACTCTAGGGAGTTCATTTGACTTGTCCAAGCTGCTTCTGGCTGGAGTCCAGTAAGCTATTTTATCTTGCCCCTTTTGTTCTAATCTCTCTCTGAAAAGCCATTTAATAATATCGGTCTGATTGGCAAGGTTTGTATAGTCCTTATCCTAAGCACTAAAAGGTGTAAATTTTTCTAATTAGCCTTTTTATATTGCCAATGGAATCTGTTTAGGAAGTCAATATCTTAATTGTGCCAACTAAAGTTCATTGATTCTGTCTTTCCCTGGAGACTTGCAGATAGCCAGTCCCTTGAACTTTTGATCTGTCTTTCTCCATGATTTTTTACTCTGTAGCAATCTAAGACTAAGTTTTTTTTTTTTTTAAATTTTTTGACAGGCAGAGTGGACAGTGAGAGAGAGAGAGAGACAGAGAGAAAGGTCTTCCTTTTGCCGTTGGTTCACCCTCCAATGGCCGCCCCAGCCGGAGCACTGCGGCCGGCGCACCGCGCTGATCCGATGGCAGAAGCCAGGTACTTCTCCTGGTCTCCCATGGGGTGCAGGGCCCAAGCACTTGGGCCATCCTCCACTGCACTCCCTGGCCACAGCAGAGAGCTGGCTTGGAAGATAAGTTTTTAGTAAGCAAATGACATCAGTTGCATCAACTTAACTTTGCAACCAAGACTCCTAACCAAGAACTGAATGTGCATGTTTCTAGAAACTCCCTCAATCATAGGTTCTAAAGAAACTATGATTGATTTGAAATTGATACTTACATTTGCCATCAGAAATAAAATATTTACATAATTGTGATCTATAATTTCATATTGTTATTTTTTGGGAAAAGATGCAATGTATCTATACAAAGTAGCATAATATGAAGCCACCAAATATTTTCCAAGAGCTTTTGATTTGTAACTGAAGTATGATTCTGTTAGCAACCTTAGTCAAAAGCCAGCATTTTGCTTCTGTTGTCAGAGTTCTAAGGATTGGATTTTAGAAACCTATCTTTATTACATTTTCTGCTTCTAGGACTCTATATTTTATGTTAATATAAGGTCAACTTTGTTCCTCCATGGCAGTTGGCATTTAAACTAGAAGATCAAAAACAAGATAGGAAACTTCCAAATGTGTATGTGTTTATGAGTGTGTGTGTGTGTTCTGAAAGTTCAAATATTAACTGTTAGCAGTAGAACCAGATTATTCTCAGTTTTTGGTGAAATTTGATGATTTACATGTTTCCAATGTAGCTGACTTTTTTCCACATCCAGGAGGAAATTGAAAATATTTGCTCATCATTGGAAAGCTTCCTTTCAAATGCGAGAGGAAAGCCACTGAGTGAGCTTTGGTGTCTGTATGCTAGCTTTGCTGTCTGTGTTGTAAGAAGGAATTCTTAAGCAGGCACATGAACTGAATCCTTGGTGGGTACTATGGGGGAAAATGCAGAATGAAACTCGATAACAGGCAGTATTCCCCATTTGTAGCAGATGTAAAGTAAACACCAAGTTAAGAGGAGAAAAACAGAAATGATTTCCCAGTTACAGCTGAAGGATAATGTAATGTTACCTCGGTATTTACAAGTGGAGAAAATGTCTGGAAACTTCATGGGAAGAATCTGAAATCTAATAGTGATCTAATACATTTTGATAATCAAACTTTGAGGATTACTGGCTAAGAAAGAAAAGAATGATATGTACTTTGCTCAGGTATTTGAGAAATTATTGAAAATATTTGGAATAATAAAATTGGATGAAGGGAAAGACAAAGAAAGAAAAAAAGGAAAAACATATATAAGAAAGACAAAAATAGATGAATAATTCTATTGAACAAAACCAATTTATGCCATAACCTATTGATTTACCTTTAAAAAATAAACAGCATATCTTTATTTTCTTGTCCTTGGCAAATTTCCGTGTGGGTAATAAAAAAAAGATACATGTTAATGTGATTTGAAACCAATGTTGATATACAGTTTTACTGGTGATCACTGTGGTACCAGACATAAGATGCCATTAGAAATACAAAAATTTTGTGGAAATAGGAATTAGAAGACACTTATTTTCATGCAATTTTTTGAAATTCATGCAGTTTCTAAAAAATATACAATTAGCATGATTAAACTTTTTGAGCTCCTCATATGCATACATTTCAACAATTTTTCTTCCAAAATATATTTTACTTCCATTTCCATGAAGTTTTTGAACACTTTTCATATTTGTGGTGACATTATTTCTTCATTCTGCGAAGGAGTAAACTAGTCCAAGGTTGATTTGCCATTATTAATACTTAGCTTTATGTTAAATTTTGTGTTTAACAAAGGGGAGAAGCATGTTTTTTGACCCAGAATTGGTAGATTCTTCTAGAAAAGGATTTCAAGATCGATTCAGTGATATCATCCCTACACTCTTAAATCCTTGAGAATTACCTCATATTCAGCTTTTCATCTGTTGCAAAGTGTCTTTTAATATTGTATGAACTATTTTTTGTAATGGAAGCATTTCAAATACCCATAATTTGTTGCTTTTAGCCAAAGTCCATTTCAGTTTCTAGAGTAAAGAGTAGGAGTCATAAACTTATGATTATAAAATAAACTGAAAGTATATCATTGTAAAAATTAAAAGGAAGCATAGAAATGCAGGAGGAAGGGTGGGAGCGTGGGCAGGAGGGTAGAGTGGGACGTATCACTATGCTCCTAAATCTGTGTATATGAAATACATGAAATTTGTTCACCTTATGTAAATAAAAAATTATATATATGAAAAGTAGAATAGAGTTAGAGCAAATATTTTCCAAATCATCAGTAAGTGCATCCTTTGTGTAACTTGGATCCTCCTTCTGGTATAATCAAGTAAAACTGAAAAGTAATTATTTGAAAGTGAAGTCTTTTTATCAGGTTGTAAGATTGTCTTTCCTAGAATTGCAGCATCATACTAACAAAGCACAGAATAAAAGGTCATGTACAATAGCTTTGAACTTGGAAGGTCTTTGAATCCATGTTCTTGGAGCTACAGAAGCACAGTGACATCTGCCTTTGATTATAGTTAGATGAATAAATATGAATCCTAGGCTGTATTTAAAACATTTCTACATACACAATGATATTATGTTCTGGGAAATGGCACACAGTGGTTATTTTTAACATAATTATAGATGTCTGACTGGTCATCTTTGAAATAAATTATTAAAAAGAAGACCTTCGTGGAAAAATCAGAATTCTTGGTTTAGGCATGTTTATCCTGGGAAAATTCAAAATAAACTATTTGACTAAAGAGTTCTGTCTATTTTAGAATTGTTCACATTTTTTACACAAATTGGGTTAATTTCTAAAATATTGGTTTATTCAGTTATTAACACTGTGCTTCTACTGACATTGTCAACTACAAATGAGAATGTGACAACATGTTTTCCAGGTGTGTGTGTGAAGAAAAGATGTTAGGGCGATGCTAATAAAGAAAAGAGAAGGAATTAGCCTGGAACACACTTTCACCGTAGACCTGGGCTCCTCACTTCCAAAAATCACATCGTCGTGTAGAATGAATTACAATCATTTTTACTCTGTGTGTTTTCCCCTCTGTTTTGCAGATTGTTTTAAATTTCACCACGATGGACTTATACAAGAGCAGTCTGTGCTGGTATGACTACATTGAAGTGAGAGATGGGTACTGGAGGAAGTCACCCCTCCTTGGTAAGACACTGTTTGCCTGCTGCATTGTTGTGCATGCTATCTGACCTGTCTAAAGAAAGCTGATTCTTCCCAGAGTTGCCGTAGAGATAAAAATATGTGCCATCAGTATTATCTTTAGTTTCAGTATACTTTTTTCAACCATACACAAAATATTCAGAAACAAATCACTAATTAAATTCATCAATTTTTAAAGTTAATCAGTCAACCAGATTTGCTTCTGAACATGATTGACAATGGCTTTCCCGTGAATTGTAACGACTGTGGCTAGCTTGAACAATGTCTTTGCATTTTAAATTTAAGATTCATAGCTTGGGGCTGGTGGTTGGCCTAGCAATTAAGATGCCTAAAGGGATGCCCACATACCACATCAATGTGGGCTGGGTGAGTCCTGGCACCATGTTCAATTCTAGCCTCCTGCGAGGTGCACCCTGGGAGGCAGCAGGTGATTGTTCAAATAGGTGGGTCCCTACCAGGCATAGAGAGATCTGGATTGAGTTCTGGGCCTGTGGCTTTGGCATAGCCTAGCCCGGGCTGTTGCCAGCCTTTGGAGAGCTCTCTTGGTCTGCCTGTCTCTATCTGTCTATTTATCTTCTCTCTGTCTCTCCACCTCTCGATAAATAAATAAAATTGAACGCAGTTTTGATGAAGAAATGGACACATTCCTTGTGTATGGGCTGTTTGTGTGTGTTTTGTTCATGTAATCCAGTGAGCTGTCAGGTACATGTAGGGCAGGTGGTTTCCCAAAACAAGCAGATTCCGTGTTCCTGAAACTTCTCAGACAGCTTTTCTGTGGCTGAAAAGAGGCATTTATAGTCTGCCTCATAAACCGTAGCTCAGATTTGGTGCTCACCAAAGTCTGCCACCCACGTTTAACCACAGACCGCACTGTTAACTTGCATGCGTCGGCTTCTGTTGCCTCTGTATTACTTAAAGGTGAGAGCCGTATGAGCACACAAGTGTCTTCTCTATCCGGATCTCGTTTCTAGGCATTGTGACTTCTCCTTTATTTTTAGAAGCAGCTGTGCTCAGTTGAGTTGTGTGCTATGCAGATCTTTTTCTAAAACCTGCTGAGTGGACACTCTTACATTAAAAGTGACAGCAACCTGAGTAAGTCCAAGAGGAAATGTTTAAAAATAAGGGAAGAGGAAGGCTTGAACAAATGCGGCTAAGTTGCATTGAGGGAAGCGTTATCTTTACATTTAATTTTGCAGCCTGGGTGAAGCAGTTTGTTACATAGGGATGTGCCTTCAGAAGAAAACATTTCATTGAGCTCATATTGGAAAATCAGACCCAAATGTAAAATGTGAGAAAGCACTTGTTTAGAGGAGCGTCTTTATGACAGGGTTCAGCGTAGAGTGGTCCACCGGACTGGCTCAGTGTGTTTGTTTTCATGGGCAAGTCCTTCCCCACCTTTTCTTCCTGGGCCTTGCTCTGAGGGGTGTATTCCTTGGACTGCTGGCTCAGAATCATCCGGAAAGGCATTAGGATTGTGGAAACTCGGGTCCCACTGCGTACCTCTGAAGCAGACTGAACTTTGTCAGTTTCCCAGCCATTCGCACGCACACTCTAAGAAGTACTGCTTGGTGCTGCCTGCCTCGGATGGACTGTGCAATTTATGATGTGTTTTTTCACTAGCTATTAGTGAGGTTTGCTTTGTTCAAGTCAGCCAGCATTTCTCGTATGTTAAAACTACGTATGGCATTTTTCCAGAACAAAGAATATGGATAACAATTAATATGTGTATAGAATTATTTCATATAAATTGTCACATTTAACCATTTTGTCATCATGTGGAAGCCTAGAGCACAGTGACAGACATAATGTAAGTAATACAAATGTGGAGGGAAGAGTGAGAGAAATGATAGGTCTTATATGTGTGTTTTCTGTTCAACTTATCTGTGACTACACAGTTAGAAAAGATTGTAACTTACAGCTGAGAGTTCTGCCTCTCTGCCCACATGGCTAGAGATGATGGCTCCGTGGGTAGGATGGAAGGTGAGCATTGCTATTAGACACGGGAGGTAGCCCAGGGGTTTCTAGAGGAGCGATCTTTAAACGTGTCTGGACAAGGAACTCCACTTCAAGGTGAGAACACAGCCTTGGCCAAGTCATCCCATGCTAAGGAGCTGATGAAGAATTCGACCCAGCGTCTTGGGGTGATGTGCACCTGTTTCTGTTGTCCATCGAGTAAATTCCCTACCTCCGTACCCCACGTGGCCTCTTACAACTGTGTTTTCTGAACAGCCTGTCTTAATTCTGTATGCCAGTGGTACAGACATGAGTCGGTCAATGTGATAATTCCAAAGTACACATCTTTTAATTCTGTTGTTTATGAACTTTCGGAGCTTCCTTGTATAGACTTTGCAATTATCATGAAAATCCATGATCATACTGAGTCATATTTAGGAATCTCTCTTTATTCCTTTGCTTCTTTTAGGTAGATTCTGTGGGGACAAAGTGCCAGAAGTTCTCGCCTCTACAGACAGCAGGATGTGGATCGAGTTTCGTAGCAGCAGTAATTGGGTAGGAAAAGGCTTTGCCGCTGTCTATGAAGGCAAGTCCCACTGGATCGCAGAGATCTGTCCATCTTAGATCTCACAACAGAAGTGTCTGCTCTTTCGGCTTCATTAGAATGATATTTAAGTCATGCTTCTAAATTACTAAATTCTCTGAACCTGTTTCATAATATTCACAAGGATGATTTGAATAAAAATACTCCATAAATTTAAAGTGCGAGAACAACTCATTGTGACCCATTATCAATGTCACAGTAACTTCTAAATGTGCTTAGGGGTATGTGAAAGAATACACATGACACAAGAGTTCTTAAACTTCGTTTGACAATAACGTTAAAATGTTATGAAGGCATTCTTGCTTTTCTCTGGGCTGATTCGCTGGGCTGCTGAAGGGCTCTATTCTAGGAAACTGCAACAGAGAGGAATTGTGTGCACATTTCTGGAGTGTGCTTTGTCTAAACAAGAGGCAGCATTCAAGGAAGGATTTATTAGATGCTTTGTTCTGCACTTCTCTGACACGGTACACTGGCATCGTGCCTCCTGGCTTCCAGAACAGCTCCTCTCTTGCCAGGTTGTGGGTGGAGGAGACCCCGGCACACGCGTTTAGGTGATTTCAAAGACGATTTCTGCTTCCCTTAAGCCTTAAGTCGACGGAAGCGTTTTGTCTTCAGAATGACGCACACAGCAGCGAAGCGGCTTGCTGGGCTGGGGCCACAGATGTTGAGCACATGGCAATGGCTCCCTGCAGAGGCCCCGGGAGTGCCGCTCTGGGGAAGACGTCCATTCTGATGAGCTGTTCACCTGTGGTCCAAACGAGGGAATGAGCCAAATCAGAGAAGCACCGCACAAGCTCACATGGAATTCATTTACCAAATCCCCGAAGGATTTTAAAAGTTTTAAAAAAGAAGTGTTCATTTTGGTGAAAATATGAAATAACAGTGATTAAAAATTGAATAGTCCTTGGCCGATTGTTATCTGACATTTACAGTGAAGTGACATTTTTTTTAACCGTATAAATTTTTACAACAGCGCAACCAGTCAACTTTGATTTTTATAACCTGATAATTTTATGTACTCAGCTCCAGGAACTGAACTTAAACATCACCTTAGAAGGAAAGGGAAGTGGAGGGGCACGTCGTCGAGGTTTATTTATTTGCTTGTGTTTTTTTTTTGCTTACTTCAGCCATCTGTGGAGGTGAGATACGGAAAAATGAAGGGCAGATTCAGTCTCCGAATTACCCTGACGACTACAGACCCATGAAGGAATGCGTGTGGCGAATAATGGTGTCGGAGAGCTACCACGTGGGACTGACCTTTCAGGCTTTTGAGGTAAAGTCTTTTAGGCGAACTCTACTGGGCGTGTTCTCCATAAATGACAGTGCCATGTAAGGGACTCCTCATTAAGTCAGCAAAGAACCGGAGAATCGGCCTTTTAATCAGCGAAGAAGCCAAGGACTGCCTATAAATGCAAGATCAAGAGGGACAGGATTTTTTCCTTTCCTCTCCTCGTAGACATTTCCAAGAAGATTAAAGTGCGTTTACATTATCTGCTCTATTTGAATCGGAATGTTTTGAACTACTGACAATCTTTTTTTTTTTTTTTTTTTGACAAATGCGTGGAGTTGTTTCATGAGACTCTTGGAGGGTCCATTACGTGATAGAACTTTTATTTCTCTTCTAAACTAAGAGGTTAAAAGGTAGACTGTCTTTTTGTTGGGGGGGGGGACCCAGTTTTTGTATTTTTTTAACCATCACACAGATAAGTGTTTATATCAGAAATCGAGATTCTGAGCTGCTTTCAGCTTCATTAGGGAAGCTGGAGGCCTGGGCAGTCCAGGCACCACCCCACGAGCCCACAGAGGCTCACACCTGCCTGCACGCCTGTGCACTATCTTTCTTTTTTTTTTTTTTTTTAAATAAAATATATTCATTTATTTGAAAATCAGACTTACAGTGAGAGGGAGAGCTGGAGGAAGACAGAGATCTTCCATTTGCTGCTTCACTCCCTAGATGGCCGCAATGGGCCAGACTGAAGCCAGGAGCCAGGAGCTTCTTCCGGATCTCCCATGTGGGTGCAGAGGCCCAAGGACTTGGGCCGTCCTCTGCTGCTTTTTCAGGCCGTTAGCCGGAAACTTGATTGGAGGTGGAATAACTGGGACACAAATCGGTGCCCATCCGGGATGCTGGCCTGGAGGTGGCCTTTACCCGCTACACCACAATACCAGCCCCACGTGCACTGTGTTTCTTTGGCACTGGCCTCGGCACCTTTATAGGTACCATATAATTTCTCATACCTATTTCCTTTATCATGGAATAACATTTTCTGCCTTGATCGTGATGTTCTATTTTATGCTCCTAACCACTTTGCACATCTAAAAATCTTGATTTTAAGGTTATTTGATTCACATTTAATTTTTTTTATTTTTATGGACTCGTGGGATAACAAACATTGTTCAAATAGACCTGTGTGTTATTAAAAGTGAAATTAAACTGCATAGATGATTTCACCTCTAATTTAGACTAAAAGAACCAGTTCACTGAAAATTATCTAACCAATGGCTATTACCTGTGTTTTGTGGTATCTTAAAGATTAATAAATTAGCTGTCTTTCAATAGATCATATAGTATTTTCTGAGATTTTCCTGTTATCTAAGAGACAGAGGAAGTGTCAGCAATCCCATCTGTTGGTTTCCTCCCACGTGCTCCCCGTGGCCCCTCTCTGGGGCTGCAGCCAAGAGCCTAAAATTCAATACAGGTCCCTGTTATGGGTGGCAGACACCCAGTTACTTAAGCCATCATTGCTGCCTCCCAGGGTCCACATTAGCAAGAAGTGGAGTCAGGAATCAGAGCTGGAAATCAAACTCATGTCTCTCATATTGGCTGGGAACATTTTAACTAGTGTCTTCCCCACCAGGCTGAATCCCTGCCCCTCTAAATATTTTCTTATTTGTTCTAATAGGGCATCAGTTGCCTTGTTTAACCTTGCCTGTTTTCTCTGTCACTTCATTTTTATTTATTTAATGTTTTCAATATGCAGATTATATATTTAAAATACATAATTAAAGAAAATGTCCTCACACCTTCTTGGAGTTCTGTGGTTTTGTCTCACAAAATATAGCTCTTCCTTACTGATCCCAGTCTTTTCCACTCCTCACAAACAGTTTCCAGCTTTGCAGTTTTGTTTAAATTGAATTCCCACATACATTCGTTCAAGTGGGATTAAGTTTGGGATTAAGTTTGTCAACATCGCCGCGCAGTCTGATTTGGCGATATTTCCCTTCTCTGTGGTACTCTGTTCCTCTGCAGATAAAAGGCCAGTAAGATAAATGCACCCATCAATCTGCCCGAATACACTGTAAAGAATTCTCTGGCTCTCTGTCGTTTATATCCTCCCGTGAACTTACGTCATAGCTCTACCCTTCCCAGTGCTACTTGGATGTTAGTGTAATTTCAGAAAGAAAACCGGAATAAGTGTCTTTGTGAATGAAGTTTAGACATCTTTGAGCAGGAAGAGACACTATTTCGAGGGTGATACACTCTCGCAGTCTCTGCCAATGGCCCTTCTTTCTGGCTTATGAATCTATGTACTTTAAGTAGATTCATGCCATATTTACTTTTTCTGTGCTGGCTTATTTCACTTAGCATAAGGTTGTCAGAATTCATCCATGCTACTGTAGCATATACCAAAATTCCCTTCCTTCTTATATCATGCCATTTAGGAAGCGCTGTGAGCTTAATGTTTGTGTTCTGCTCAGATTCATAGCTGCCAAGGTACTGTTTTGAGGAGGTGGGCCCTTTAGGAAGTGATGAGATCATGAGGATGGGGCCTCCATAAATGGGATTAGTGCCCTCATGAAAGAGTCCCCGGAGCCTCCGCCACAGCCATATGAGATGTAGCGAGAAGGTGCCAATCAGATACTGAACCCACCAGGGCCTGGATCTCACACTTCCCAACCTCCAGAACTGTGAGCAGTCGGTTTCTACTGGTCACCATCAGCTCACGCCATGCTGTCTTCTTCCAGCGTCCTGGATGGACTAGGACAGGAAATAGTTACTGGATGCATTATTCTTATGACTGATACACTGGCATGAATGTTTTTATGAATATCTCTCACCTCTGAAATTAACTTGGGCAGATTTTTCCCAATTCCGCGGCAGCATTGTTTGTAAAGAAGCTTCTAGTACTACTAATCTATTTGGGGACTTTTCAGTTGCAGAAATACAGGAGAGAAAGTTTGGGAGAGTGGAAATGTTTATAATAACAACTTCAAAGAAATGTCAATAAAGCAGCAAAGAAGTGAAATAAACTTGGAGCTAACTCTTGTTTAAATTGAATCCCCACATACATGAATTCAAGTGGGATTATGTTTGAGGTACTTGTCAACATTGCTGCACATTCGGATTTGGTGTAACTTTTCCTTATGAAAACCAGAGATATTTAATAGCTTTAACCCTCATTACTGCCAGCTGCAACACTCTAAACTAAGTAAATAAGTTTTTATCTTGGTGCTTGGTAGATTGCTTGAGCAAAATAATCCTTTAATTCCTTTAGCTATTTTTTAATAGGTGATGATAAGTAGACTTTCTGTTGTGAGTGAAAGAAGACCAGATAAGGGGGTTAATGGTTTTCTGCTTGCCATGTACTATTTTTGGGTGTTCAGCTAAGAGTATACATTGGTTAATGAGTGTAAAAGACAAGATTTAAACAGCTCTTCATGAATTATGGCTCAGGATGTATTTGGACTGTGAGAGATTAGCCCTGGTTAGTTTAAGTAAACCTGCCCAAGGTCATACAGTTGGTAGTGCAGTGATTGAAACCAAGTCTGTGGTCTGTGCACTTCTGTCACCAGGCCCTGGGAGTAGAGAGTAGCATCACATTTTCTCATAGCAGCCAATGCGTTCCACAGTTCACCTACTTGTCATTGCACTCATATGCATGGATATCAGTTAATTCAATTTTCCATAAAGGTTTTGATGCATCCTCATTTGTCAAAGACATTCTTTTTAATTTAGCACTGTTCACATACCACTGAGTGCATACTCTCTGGCTATAGCAGGTTTTCAATAAGATTTTTAAATTTATGAGATGAAAAATGCTACATCATGAATTGGCAGCATTTAAATGAATGATTTTATGAAAATAAACCTATCCAAGCAAACCTGTAAACCTTCCATGTTGTTGATTTTAACATTTGAGCATATTGTTTCTCCTCTTTCTTGAGTAATTATATATTACTTTTAAGGCTATATTAAATGTCATTAATAAATTTTGAATAAGATAATAAATTTAAAATAATTATCTGTATATTAACTTTTTCCCATTTGTCCAAAAGATTTTATTTTTTTAAATTTGAGAGAGTGAAAAAGATGGACAAACAGAGAGAGACAACTTTCAAATGCTGGCTTACTCCCCAGTTGCCTGCAATAGATCCTGAAACCAGGAGCCAGAAATGCAGTAAAGGTCTACCGTGTTTATGGTGGGAACCAAATTACTTGAGCTATCACCTGCTGCCTCTCAGGGTTTGCATTGGCAGGAAGCTGGATCCAGGACCCAGAGACAGGGATCAAACCCAGGCAGGCCCAGTGGGTGACACAGGCATCTTAATCACTAAGCTTACATGCATCTTTTCCAAAATTTCTTCTGCTAATAACATTATTTCCTAGACTTTACTAGATTTTCCCATTATTAAAACGAATGTAAGCTTGAATGATAAATGCTCATTCATATTGTCTTTATTAGTCATAGTTTTCTTTCATATTCTCTCCAAAAGCAAAAAAGAGTCTTAATATTGTTTGTATAATACGTTACTTAAAATTATATTATCTATAAAGGTAGTATCATTTTTATTGCATTTACTGCATTTTATTGCAGTAATTATATAATAAACCTACATCACAGTAGAATTTTTTTATTGTAGTACATGATGCATAACACGAAATTCAGCATCATAACAAAGTTTAAATGTATTGTTCAGTGGTGTTAAGTATCTTCACATTATTATGCAGTCAATTCCCACAACTCTTTCATTCTGTAAAGCTGAAACTCTGTGCCTATTAAATAATAACTCCTCATTTGTCCCTGCCCTAGTCCCTGGCAACAACTTTCCTTTCAGTTTATGAATTTGAGTACTCTAAGTAAGTCATAGAAGTGGAATAATATAGTGTTTATTATTTTGCAACTAGTGTTTTACTTAACATAAGCCTCAAGGTTTAGCCATGTTGTGAAATATATGAGAATTCTCTCCCTTTTTAAGGCTAACTAATATTCCATTGTGATTTTCTTTGTTCATCTATCCATGGCCAATTGGGTCGCTTCCACATTGTGACTG